GGTGACCCTGCTGGTATTTAAAATACCGGTAGCATAGCTCCCAGAATCACAGCAACTTACAAACTACCACAGTACGACAAACTGACAGATGAATGGTGGAGATAAAAGTTTGAAGATAGATAACAGATAAAAGATAAACAGAGAGAGAGACAATAGACAGGCAGCTAGATGATAGACAGGTAGGTGATAAACAGGTAGACAGGTAAGTTACTGTGTGTCCGTCTAACTCGTGAAAACCTCATGCTCAACAGAACAAAGTGTTGCCCGTTCATTCGCCGTCCTCAGGATCATTGGCAGTTCAAGTCCATCCTGGGGTGTTGTGCTGCCCTACCTCACTGGGGGTCTCCCTCACCCTCGCTGCCCCTCTATGTCACCAAATGTGACATCCTCCTTCAGCGACTGAACCCTGATCATGATGTGTCCAGAGCAAGTCAGACACGATTCTGTTGGGATCCACAGGATTGTCATGAATGGACTGTCTGAAGTGGACCGCAGGGCCTTTTTCTAGTCTGTCAGTCTGCCTTAGTCTGGACACTCTTGTGAAACCTGCCCACCCTGGGTGTCCCTGCTGATGTATGAAACACTGGTGGTACAGCTTCCAGCATCTCAGCTGCACACAAAGGGACCTCTGTGAGCCTCTACAAAGGGACGAACGCACACATGGGTGGTGGAGGGGCTGGAAGGACTCTGCGCCCCCACCCCCCAGCCGCAAGATGTGAGGTGAGCCGGTAGAAAAGGGAAGACATCCTCAGGAGGTGGAGGCTGAGGCTGTCCCCAGCCAGGACGCACTGAAGCACCTGAGTTCGCCTTCAGAAGAAGTTCTAGAGACCCAAGTGAGAGCTGGAACTCTGAAGATGACAGCAGCCAAGATCACACAGCAAGCTTCCGCCGACCAAGCCAGGGGTAAAGCCTTTCTTGTCCAGCCCATTCCAGGTGGTCCACACTCCTGCCCAGGGACCTTCTGGGGAGGCCCTTACCCTGCCAACCGCAATCCAAGTCCTGATAGCAGGAGCTATAAGATGGATGTGTGTCCTACACACAAACTCACTCTCATCTGGAGCGTCACGCCCCGCTTTGTCTGAGCTACACCCCCTGAGTCCTCTAGGTCCAGGTTTCTGGGACTGTGAAGAAGGACAGGCCGCCACTTTCTAGGCACTCCAAGTACAGGGTCCAGTATTTGTACATGTGTTCCAAATCCATCTGTGAGTCTTTGTCATGCGTCTTTGTGGAGCCTCTCCTGAGTACCCAACCTGGGTCCTGTCGTCATTAACAACTATTCCTTTCTAGAGTGTACCGTGGGAGGTGTTGGTGTGGATGATTAGCATCAACAGGTGTGGGGACAGGCAGCAGGTGGGAGCAGGTGTGAGGAGACTAGCACCACCTACTGGCTAAGAGTGGTAGGGCAGAATGGCTGAGTAGGAATAGCTGGTTGGGGGTAGGGGGAAATGTCCACTCAGGGCTGCTGCATCTTTCCCCCAGGCCGGCGTGACTCCTCAGGCATCCGCCTGTACTACACGGCCTCACTGCGGCCTTACGATGCAGGCATCATGGAACTGGGCCTGGTGTATACCCCTGTGATGGCCATTCCCCCACAGGAGACTGCCTTCATGCTCACCGGCTACTGCACGGACAAGTGTACCCAGTTGGTGAGTGGACCAGCTGCCCAGGCACCCTGGAGGCTGAACTATGATGGATGGGCAAGGCAGTGTGGGGGTGAGGGGCAGGAGGTCTGCTCAGCTTTACGCCCCCCCCCCCAACTCAGACCCCCTGCTCCTTCACGCTGCGCTTTCTTCTTCCTCGGGCTCAGCTGCCCTTGTGATGGGCACTTGTCTCTCTGGCTGACCGTGGCTTCCACTTTCAACTCTCCATGTGGCAACACTTCTAGGCACTTCAGTTTAATTTTTAATAGACTTTTTAGAGTAGTTTTAAGTTGAGGGGAAAATTGTTCAGAAAGCACAGAGTCCCCATGTGCCACCGCCCGCCTCCCCCTGGCCACCTACTCCCCGGTCACTGGCATTGGGCACCCTGAGGTGCTTGTATGACAGTGATGAACCCGGGTGGATGCAGGCAGGCCTTGGACACAGTGTGTGTTTAACTCCACACCATGGCAATACAGTGACAATTACAATTAAGCAAGTCACACACAGTTTTTTGGTCTTGTTTTCCCCCAATTCCATTGCCATCAAGTCAATTCTGACCCTATAAGGCAGAGTAGAACTGCCCCATAGGGCTTCCAAGGCTGTAAATTGTTACGGGAGCAGTCTGCCCCATCTTTCTTCCAGGGGCTTCAAACCACTAACCTTTCAGTTAGCAGCACACCTAAGCCTCTGTGCCACCAGGGATCCTTTCTGGTTTTCCCGTGCCCATAAAAAGGATGTTGTGTAGTGGACCATGTTGTCGTTAGGTGATGTGCAGTCAGTTTTGACTCTTAGGGTTTGAATACAACCCACCCTGTATAGGGCTTCCAAGGAGCAGCTAGTGGGTTTGAACTGCCGACCTTGTAGTTTGTGGTCCAATGCTGATCCTGCAACGCCACACCAGGATGAACAAGTTTAAGGTCGTGCAAGAGTGGTCACAGTGGGGCACAGAGAAACAAAATGAGTACATATTGTGGGAAAAACCGGGTGTGACGCTGCGGGTTAATGCACTAGACTGCAAAGTCAGCTTGAACCACAAGGTCAGCAGTTCAAGCTCACCAGCTGCTCCTTGGAAACCCTGTACAGGGTCGGAACCAACTTGACGGCACTTAACAGATTCACTGGAGGCAGGCTTGCCGCAGACCTTCTGTCTATTTAAGAAGCAAGATGTCAGAGAGGCACGCCGAGGGAGGTGGGACAGTCACACGCAGCGCTTTCTGCCGGGACTTCCTTGTAGATCCACGAGGGGTCACCTGTGTGGTGTACAGTGTCTGGCCGAGTCCCCCACACCTGCCCTGTCCATGCACTACCTTGTATAGCTGTGACTACACCAGGAGCACACTTTCCCTCCCCTACCTCAAGGTTCACAGTTACTGAACTTTTGCTCTTCTAGGCTTTTCTCCTGTATACCTCTGCATGCCTTTCTATGTAATGGAAATGCACTGTTTTGTTTGTGGGGTTGTACAGCAATGAATTGAATAGTGTCCATGTGTCCTAGCTGCCACACCGAGATCCACAGTGTGTCTCCTCAGGCATTGAGCCAGGGCAGGTGGATGTCCCAGGTGACAAGCAGGTAGAAGCAGACCTCCTTGAGCCCATACCGAGACACTTGTATAGGGCAGATTTCTAAGTGGAAATTGCTGTGCAAAGAACCCTAAACGTCATCTTTCATAAACCTCACAAAATGTCCTCCAACAGGACCATTGCAAAGCCTCCACCCACACACAGAACCAGAGAGCCGGTGCTCCCCACCCACACCACCAACGCAGCATCTTATCCACATGTTAAATATTTGCTTAATCATTTGGAAGGAAAGGATTTCAGTGGTGTTTAATTCAAATCTCTCGGATGAGCTATAAGGTTTGAGGACTGTTTCAGCTGCATCTCGGCCATTTTCTGTAAATCTCTGTTCATTGCCTTTGTGCATTTCTCTGCAGTTGATGATTTGCATTTCTTGTCATCAGTTCCTGGGCATCTTTTTATATTGGGGATGTGATTTCATGGTCTTTTGTGCATGCTGGAATCCTGTAGGATCAGCACTGGATTGCTAATGGCAAGGTCAGCGGTTCAAATCCACCAGCCACTCCTCAGAACCTCTATATGGGTGGTTATGAGTCGGAACAGACTCAATGGCACACAACAACAAAAACAGTATCTTCACTCCAAATCCGTCTCTTCACTACTCACCGGAGCCTGCGAGGTATGGGCAAACATCCCCATTTCACAGATGAGTCTCCACATGCGGGTCGGCCCACCTTCTAAAGGTGAGCCCATCAGTGGCTACTTAGTGCTGAGGTTAATAGTGACTTTTCTTGCTAGTGAATTGAAGAGTTGGGATCTTCTCATCCAATGGCCTCTCTGAGCTTTCTAGGCCATTAGACAAACCAAGTTTCCAAAAAGCAGAGAAGCTATAAACCAGCTGCCTAGGTTAAAAGCAGCTGAGGAATCGTACACCCATTGCTGGCGGTTGATGCCCTCCACAGGCCCAGGACCCCCTTCTCTGTGTAAAAGGCTCCATGGCCGGAAGTGGGGCTGGGCCGGGCCACTGGGCTGAGGGACCCTAGGCCAGGCCAGGCAGGACCTATGCCCATTGCAGGGACCCAGGTGACCTTGAGACTATCCACCCAGTTCAGTCGGTGACCCTTCATAGTCTCCAAACACCTTCAAGTGAGAAAATCCAAAGAATTAATTCACTTTTCTTCCCTTTCAAACAGAAAAACAAACAAAGCCCCAGCGACCCTGTAGAGCAGAGCAGACCTGCCCCAGACGTTTCATCTCTAGGGCTTAGACTATTATACCCTTCTCCTGTAGCGTAGTGGGTACGAATCGGCCTGTGAACCGCAAGGTCAGCAGTTCAAAACTACCAGATGTTCCGTGGGAGAAAGATGAAGCTTTCTGCTCCCGTAAAGATTTATAGCCTCGGAAACCCTGTGCAGGGTCACTATGAGTCAGAAGCAACTCCACGACACATAACAACAACCCTTCTCCTGTGGAGCGGCTGGTGGCTTTGAACCACCAACCTTTCAGTTAGCAGATGGTCACTTTAAGCACTGCACCACCATGGCTGTTATTTGGATAGAAACCCTGTCTTGAAAGGTGTCTTGCTGCGAGATTCTGCTGAAGGAGCCAGCTTGCCTGCCTGGGGTCTCTGTAACTGAACAAGCCGGGAGCGGGGGGTGTATGTTCCACATTCAAAAGCCCCTCCCTCCCTACACCCCATTGTCCGGAGATCCTAAAACCTGCTGAGGAGTCGATTCCAATGCATAGCCACCCAGTACAGGACAGAGAACCATCCACAGGGCTCCAAGGTCATCATCTTTACCAAAGCAGAAGACTGGCTGTTGGGTCTGACTGCCAACCTTTTGGTTCTCAGTCAGGTGCTTACCCACTGCACCGCCAGGGCACCTTGGCTTTGTAAAACCCTGGTCCTCTTCTCCCTGCCTGCAGGCGCTGCCCTCCTCTGGAATCCACATCTTTGCTTCACAGCTGCACACACATCTGACCGGCAGGAAGGTAGTCACAGTGCTGGCCCGGGGCGGCCGTGAGAGGGAGGTGGTGAACAGGGACAATCACTACAGCCCACATTTCCAGGTAGGACTTCCAGGGCTCCTGACGGGGGTCCAGCCACCAGGGAGACCACAGGGATGGATGCCTTTGGTGTTTCATCGAAGTGGTGCATGGTGGGTGGGCTCTGTCAGCACCAGGCAGATTGTGGGTTTGAAGGGGAAAAGATGGTGGCTTTTGATCCTTATGTCTAGTTCCAGTCCTGTCCTGGCCAAAGGCCAACCCAGACTATCTCAGGCCTCAGTCACAGAGGGCAGGGCAACCCACAGGTTAAGGGAGTCCCTAAAAAATAAGGAAGGCTGGGTGGAGGAAGGCAGGTCTGCCCCCTCAGTCCTCTTCCTCTACACCCCAGGAGATCCGCATGCTGAAGAAGGTGGTGTCTGTTCACCCGGTGAGTGTCCCCATGGCAGTGGGAGATGGGGGGCCGGGAGGACAGCGAGAGCTTGTAGATGGATGCAGGGTGATGAACCCCTGGCTGTTCAGTCCAAACATAAACCCGAGAGCTTTCAGGGAAGGAGGACTGCCCGTGAGTCCCCACCTTACAGATGAACCTTGGACTTCAGGGGGAATTTGCCGGAGGTCCCTCTAATCTGTGCTGTCATGGCGCCTGTACCAATAGGCAGCTAAGTCACAGTGCCCTGGGGACCCTCAGAATGGGACCGCCTGGGGGCAGGAGTCACCAGAAGCCTCTTTGAAGAAGAACAACCCAGCCTGCACACGTATGGGCCTGGGGACCTGTACCTGGTAGCACAGGTGGCTGAGTGCTGACTGTTTCCGGTGTTGGTTCCCAGGGGGATGTCCTCATCACTTCCTGCACGTACAACACGGAAGACAGGAACCTGACCACCGTGGTAAGACACTTTGCTTGCCTGCCTGCCTGCGTGCACCTGGGGGCTGGGGCAGGTGATTCCGCTCCAGCTGCGTAGAGGTTTCAGAGGATGGGGGTGGGGGTGGGTGTCCCTCTCTCCAAGAGAGATCCCTGGACCAGCAAAATCTCATCTTCTGGGAACTTGTCAAGAATGCAGATTCCCAGCCTCATCCTAGTCCTGCAGTCAAGACTGTTGCAAATGTGGCTTCAACAAGTTTCAATGGTAAAGCCCCCTGTGTAGGGACCAGCCCTGGGTAGGAGGCAGGTGCCACCAGGAACCCACGTGGCAGGAACAGGGAGGGGGGCCCCTGACAAGACCACCCATCACCCCTTTTATGGGTGAAGCCACTCACCCTCTGGAGTGAGACTTGCCAGGAATCCAGCAAGCAGACCAAAGCCTGCCCCAGTTCTGCTCCCTCCCCAAGGGCTTTGTCCATCAGTGAACTGACTTCCTCTCCCTGGAGAGACCACTAAGCCTGGCAGCTCTGTATAAGCCTGTCCTCTGAGGGGCTTCCCACGCTCTGACAACCAGGACTGCTGATCTAGAGACAGGGGCCTTTGAAATGCACTTTCCTCCCCAAGGTGTGAGACAAAGGGCCTGGTTTCCTGGTTGTCTCACAGAGTGGCTAGGGTCAGGGCCTGAGCCTCCTTTGATGTCTGCAGGAGGACAGGAGGACAGGAATTCACAGCCAGGACAATAAAAGCTCTGTCCTCCAGGGGCCTTGGGAAATGAGGCCTCTTGACTCACAGTCCACTACGTGCCACCAGAGCCGGACAGAGCTGGCCATGTTCAACCCAGCAGATGCCCCCACCCCATGTGTGCGCTAGTGGGGGCAGAGGGAGCAGGAAGCTGGCCTTCTCAGTTCTGTTGTTCTGCCAGAAAGTAGCCGATGCCCTTCTTTACTCAAATTTCCCAACCCCACCCCCAGGACCCACATGGAGGTTTTCAAAGAACTGGGGCCCCTAGGCCCTGCCCCACCAGGTGGGAACTGCCTTCCTACATGCAGCAAAGAGACTCTGTTCTCTTCACCTGAGCTCCCCACATTATGAGCCTCTTCCTTCTCTCTTCCTCTTCCTCCTGAAGTGCAGGGCCCACACCTTTGCCACTTGGAGAGGACTGTCCTCCTTTGACAGAGGCCATGGGTTACTCTGGGAGACCAGCCCCTGTGCCCTCTGCTCATGGGCTCTTCTTCAGGGGTCTCCATTCTTCTCAGAATCAAGTTCTCAAATGGTCAGTAGATGGTGTGGGTTCATGATGGGACGGGGTCTCCCCTCCCCACAGGCTTTTGCTGGACAGCAGTAAGGGATGGACTGACCAGTAAGCATGGTGTGCTCAGGATTACATTGAGCAAACGATATCCAAGTTTTCATTGCATTTCCACAGTGATTCGTGATGAGCAGTTTCATGTGGATTTCACCACCTCTCTGATGTGTTGGGGGCAGGTGACGTTGCACACTGCAGAGGCGTGGGAAGGCATAATTGGACCATGCCTACCTTGCTTGTGGGGTCATCTGGTCCTGATTATTGAGTCGGTTCCAACTCATAGTGACCCTGTATAGGGTTTCCAAGACTAAATCTTTACGGGAGCAGACATCCTCCCCTCTGGTGTGTTTAAACCACTGACCTTGCAGTTAGCAGCGCAATACCTGACCCACAGTGCCACCAGTGCTCCTTGATAGGATTTGCTGTTGTGAAGTGCCATTGAGTCAGTTCTGACCCATAGTGACCTTGTATAGGGTTTCCGAGGAATAGCTGGTGAGCTTGAACCGCCGACCTTGCAGTTCAAACAACTTTGTAGTCTGGCACATTAACCCACAGCACCACAAAACAGTGAGAAGGCTGTGGGGTCAGGCTCTGTCGCTGACTTCTCAGGGACTGCAGGGCTTGTCCCTTGCCCTCTCTGGGATACTGGTGACCTCCACCAGGGCTGGACTGAGGTGATGATGTGTGGCGGTGTCCCCACTTTGCAGGGCGGCTTCGGGATCCTGGAGGAGATGTGTGTCAACTACGCGCACTATTACCCTCAGACGCAGCTGGAGCTCTGCAAGAGTGCAGTGGACCCCGGCTTCCTGCAGAAATACTTCCACCAGGTCAACAGGTGAATCCCATGGAGGACATGCCCTCATCCCTAGGTGACAGGGGACCCCAAACCAGAGTCCTCCAGCCCTGTTCCAGTGGGGAAAGTCAGGGACCACAGCCCGGAACCACACAGAGCCAAGCAGGATGGGGCAGCAGGTCCCCACCCTTCACTGAGGTACCCGTGGCAGACATCACCAATCGAGGTCTGCACACACTCCTGCTGAACCTGCAGCTGGCCTGAGAGACTGCTACAACCAACACATTCAGAGTGACCGTGTTAGTCTAGGGTGTGCATTCAGGTGGCCTCAGGCTACTTGTAGGACCCCCAACCTGCCTGCAGGGAGACACGCTGGGCTCCTCCCACCCACTGCACTCAAGATGGGTCTGTCCTTCTCCCTGCAGTTTCAACAGTGAGGATGTCTGTACCTGCCCACAGACATCTGTCCCACAGCAGTTTGCCTCTGTCCCCTGGAACAGCTTCAACCGAGAGGTGCTCAAGGCGCTGTACAACTTTGCCCCGATCTCAGTACACTGCAACAAGTCCTCAGCCGTCCGCTTCCAGGTATATCGCCCAGGTGTACGTCCAGGTACACCACCCAGGTGTACTCACCCGTCAGGTGTGCCACCCCCTAGGTATGCTCACCCCAGGTGTGCCATCCTGTATGCTTCCACAGGTATGTCACTCCAGGTGTACCATCCCCCAAGTATTTCCACCCCGAGATGTGTCCTCCCCTAGGTGCTCTTGCCCATCTGGTGGGGTGGGGTGGCACAGCTGAGGCAGACCCACTGAAGCCCACCAGCTGGAGGGCAGCCCCCCACTGCCAGCGCTTTCTGAGGCCCATTGGTCAGTCCTGTAGGCCACCCACCCACCTGCTGTGGCCAGTGTTTGACAGGTCCCATGAAGGCCTTAGGGTGGGTGATGGGTCCCATGACCAAGGAGCTGGCAGGAAACACTGAGAGGTGAAGGAGTTAGGGAAAGGGCCAGATGGGGCCAGACAGACAGACAGATGGCCTTTGAAGGGGGGACTAATGCTGTTGGACCCTCCTCGGTAGCATCACAGCTGGAGGCTGTTCTCGGCTCCCCGGAGAGTCTGGGATGTGAGCAGTATACCAGACGGCTGACCCCAGAGACTCAACGTAAAACCAGGAAGGGGGAGTGGAGGGGAGACCTGAACCCGGGACGGGACGCAGGCTGGCTTCCTTGGAACCCACTGGGATTTAGAGGCACTTAATTACCTTCCAGCTGGGCCGCCTGTCAGAAGACCAGAGTTGATGTCGAATTAGTCGCCAATTAGTTGCGTAGGATCTGCAGCCCAGAGGGCCTGGAACATTTGGGAGCCAGATTAATTGCTAAATCAAACATTTCTAGCACTGAGGGCTGAGCTAATGCCGGGCTGTCTGGGGTGGGCGTGTGATAGGCTGGGTGTGTGCGCAGCCTTTTCAGGGAAGGGTGGCTGAAGCCACAGTCTACATTTAAAGGACTCCATTTGGGCCAAGGGTGGCACTGAGGGGTGGGTGGCACTGAGGGGGGGACCCAGAGCTCACCTAGGGTCTGGGTCCCTGGCCTGGGTAACTGTGTGGCTCGGGGACACTTCACCAGGTGAGGACCCTGTGGGAGAAGTAGCTTGTGAGAAGAAGGGTGCATTCAGGTTGGAGCCACGACTTGCCTGCCCCTGCCTCAGTTTACCCCAGATCCCTTCCTTGTAGGGTGAGTGGAATCTGCAGCCATTGCCCAAGATCACCTCCACACTGGAAGAACCACCCCCGCGGTGCCCAGCCCACCGTGCCCAGAACCCCAGCGGCCCCACTGTGGTCAACATGGGCGGGGGCAAAAGTTGAGTGGGGGGCCCACTCCTTGTCCCTCCCCTCATGCTGTCCCTGTTGCTTCACACCAGTCCTGTGTCTCCTCTCTGTGAAGTCCCCTGTGTGCCCAGGAGCAAAGAGCCTCAACCCCAAGACTTGGCACCCCAGCCCTCGCTCCCTCTGGGCCAGCGTCCACTATCCGGATGGTCCTTCCCCTGCCCCCTCACAGGACTTGGACCTCCACAGCCTAAGTCCTGGACACTGTGCATGGTGGTCTGTATCATTCTGCATTGGGTGCAAGTTCTACTTAAACATCTCCCACTGAGCGCGTCTGTCTCACTGTGGGCGGTGTGCAGAGCAGACAGGACGCGGCATTTAGCTAGTTAGAGAGTTGCGGGGGAAACTGCTCCATTGCAGAGTAAATAGATATTTTCGCCCACCTAAAGGGAAACCCTAACAACAATTACCCCACCGCCTAAGAGACCCAGATGGGGCACTAGGTGCCAGTGTCCTCAAGACAGTCTCCTTCACTCCAGGTGCCCCACCTCACCCCCTATCCTTGTCCCAGGGATGGCATGTGGTTGGCTCACAGACTGGGCTTGTTGGCTCAGAGCAGGTCTGCCACTGAGTGGACAGTAGACGGGCAGGCTTTCACTTCCCCCACCTTCAGTTTTCTCATCTGTGAAATGGGTGTGAGGTTTGCTTGAGGATACAGCCAATACACAGAGAAGGTGGCCTTGTCTCCAGGGGGTTGGGGGTCACCCTCTGGCTCCCTCCCGCATGAGCTGCCTATGTGATTCAGCAAAACGCTGCCCAGCCTCTGGGGGAAAGGGTGATGGATGGAGCTTACGGGTCCTCTCCCCAAATGTCAGAGGGGTTCTTCCTAACCGGGCCCGAGCAGGGGACCAGCTCCACAATGTGCTCTGTAAACCATGACAGAATATTCCACAGTGAAATAAATGCCAGCCAGGACCTTGGCCAAGAGCGTCCACCCTTGGTCATGTTTACGACCCGGGTGACAGGCAGAGCAAAGCCCAGCGTCCATGAATGTGCCGTTCCCCCAGCCACGGAGACCCCTCCCCCTGGCCATACCCTACCTTCAGCCCTGAGAAGGGTCTTGACTGGTACAGAGGTGGATGAAGCCAGACTGAACCCCCAACTCTGGGCCTTTCCAGTCACCCCGAGAGTTGGTTCCCTCAGATGAGGGACACCAAGTGCTGTGCTCGTAGTGGTCCAGGGTCACACGGTCCCTCAGGGCCCCTCCATCTCCCACTCACCAGTGTGCAAGGGCACTGACTGCTCATTCTCCCCTCCCTGTGGGTGTCTGTGGGGTTCACCACTCCAACCCAGTCTCCCACCTCCAGCTGGCTGCGGTCACCCACCCTGGCTTCTTAGGCTCACGGCACAGCTAGGATGAATGTCTGTGATACGTCACTGTGAGCGTGCACTATCATAGACAGATGAGGAAACAGGTTCAGAAACCTCAGTGACTTCCCCAGCTCTCACCTTTCCACAGGTGTAGAAGCCCACGGTGAGTCAGATGGAGACACTGAGATACGCTTTATTAATTGAAACAGGTCAGGAGGAGGGTGGCCACCTTGACCTGGCCTTCAAACAATGCTCCAGGCTGGCCTGGCATCCCAGGGACTGAGGAGACACACAGGGTCCCTGGTGAGTCCAGCATTCCAATCCTCATCCCACTACTTCTGTGTTACTCTGGGAAAGTTGCTTACCTTCTCTGGGCTTCCATTCCCCCATCTGCCCATGTTGGCGCATACATCAGCTGAGTTTCCTCCACCCCAACCCCCAAGGTGCACTCCCATGGGATCAATGTTGAGGGGGCCAGGGGGCCCCAGCTGGAGCCTGCAGCTGGGGCCGCTGCACCTGCCTAGCCGAGCCTCAGCATACTGAGGGCAATGCTGTCAGTGTGGTACCACTAACCCACAGGCATCTGTGAGTTTCAGTATAGATTAACAAAGTGGAATCAAACCTGCAATGTCTCGGTCACTCCATGTGCTCAGTGCCCATAGACAAGACCCTGCTCCCACTGGGCAAATCGAGCCTGGGATGCCTGGTGCCCCCACCTTTCTGTTCTGTTGCAGCCAGAAAGAACTTCTAATTACCAGGAATCGTTTCCTACTCAATCTTCTTCTGCCCCCAGCCCTGGGCTCTTAAGACAGAAGATTTCAACTTTGTGGGGGCTGTGGCTGACTTGAGATTCACTGAGAATGATGAACAGTGTCCGGGGAAATGCATGTTGATCCCCGTACACCTCACGCCAGGCAGGCATTTCTTGACCTGGTCCTTGCTGTGTCTACACAGCCAGGCTAGAAGTGTGTTTGGGAGCCTTCTGAGGAAGAGTCTAGATTCAAGTCCTGGAGACCCCTACTTGGGGCATGTCACAAGGTGCCTTTGAGAACCTGAATTCAGTGGGCTCTGGAAGCTATACTTTTGCATGTAGACTGAGGGTATCTGCAGCCCTTGGAGACCCATGGGTGGACCCTGGACCACAGACCACAACAACTGTCCCCTGGGTCAGCCCCACAATGATGCAGGCTCTTGTCTCCTGGCCATGCTGCCTCTTCTTTGTCCATTCGGTGACCAGGCACTGCTGTAGGAGTCTACTGCCCTCAGGGGTTGGGGGTGGGGGCTCACATGCCAAGACACAGACACAGGGCATGCACCAGCACACACGCGGCAGGTAGTGACAAGTGAAGGGACAGGGAGGAGATGTGTCAGGCAGGGTGTAATTTAAATAAGGCCACTAAAGCACCTTGCTGAGAAGGGGATATGTCGTGTCGGCGAAGCCCTGAAGGACTTGGACATCTGGGAGTATGACTTTCTGGTAGAGGGGCAGCCAGTGCAAAGGTCCTGAGGTCAAGATGAGCCTGGCTTGTTGGAGGAAGAGAAAGTCTGAGTAGCAGAGCTGGGGATGGGGGGGTGGGGGTGGGGAATGGAAGAAGAGGGTCCAGAGCAGCCATGTGGGGAGACAGGTGGAGGATCTTGAGCTTGGCGGGGGGGATGAGTCTGTATGTCCCTCTGGCTGTGTGTGTGGGACCGGATGAGAGCCAGGTAAGAACCAGATGGGAACCAGACGGGGGAGACCATTGCAGTGGGTCTAGGTGCAAGGTGCCGGTGGTGCACAAATGGGGTGAAATGGGGTCTGGCCCCAGATACATCAGACCCAAGATTTGCTGATTATTCTAGAATGTGAAGGAAGGAGTTGGGGGGCATCGTGCCTTTCCATGCACAAGTCAAGCACAAGCCTAGAGGCTCGACTGCCTCCTTCCCCACCCCCCAGACATGCACCCTTCACCCTAGCTCCTGTCCTGGTATCTGCATCTGTGGGGATCTTCCCTCCCACCCCAGCTAGAGACCAAAGCTTGGTCCTGGAGTCTCTTCCTTGTCTCTCCTCTTCTGAAACCCTGGCCAGGTGGTTTGGAGACAGCCTTCCCTGGCTCCCGCTTGATTAGCTCTATTGCCCCAGCTCAGTCAGTGGCTGGACAACAGGTCTGTGAGGGACTGAGGACGGCCAGGACCCCCAGGACTGCCTAAGCCCACTGCCCAGAGAGCAGAGTGTGGCCACGGGGCGGGTGTGTGTGTGTGTGGGGGGGGGGGTAGCATGAAGAAGCAATACAACTCTCGGATCTGAATGGGTGAGGGGCAAAGGTGGAGGAGAGACATGGGTCTGCCTGGCAGCAGGTGAGGGTAAGGAATGGGAGCAGGGATGGCCCATGTTTCCCGATGCTGTGCCCTGCGGAACATGGTCTTTCTGTGCTGGACAATCAGGAGAAGGTGGATGAGGGGTGCAGGTGTCCCCTAAGTGCTCAGGGACAAAGGATCCCATCTTCAAGATAGGAGGCTGCGCCTACTCTCATGAATTTCCAGGGCCCAGGACTCATGGATAAAGTGAGGCAGGGGATGGTACACTAGTCTGGCCCTGCCCCCCACACTTCAGCACATGGGTTGATGACTCCCAGAAGGCTTTTCCTTCTGAAGATCTGCGAGGTCAAGACAGAAAAAACCTTCTAGGTCCCCGTTCTTGGGATCTGAAGGTCTCGGGAAACCAGCTATCTGCACCCACATCACACCTTCTTCGCTGCACCTGTGGCAGACAGTGCTAATTGATCACCACTCGCTCGCCCCCATTTCAGACACAGCCTCATTGAGAGCTCAGCACAGAAAAAGATCCACAGGCCAACTCCCCGTTTACACGAGGACCATCAGAGGTTTACTCAGCACTCCCAGGACCCAGGAGTGGGCCATGGGCACAGGCCCCGAGCCCAGGGCACTCAAAGGAGACGCGGGGGGACTAATCCCAGGGTGTGATTGAGGCTGGGAAGGGCCCTCTTCGGTCTTCTTTCTTCTCTGTCCATCTCTGGATTTGGGGTCTTCAGCAGGACGAGGCCTGCACTAAGAGTAACGAGGGGCCCAGGCTCAGGTCAGTGTCAGGGGCACCGTGGCAGTGGTGGTGTGTGCTGCCAACCTCTGACCTCCAGAGTGCAGTGGTCACTTCCCGAGGGCCATCAGTATATCCCTCTCACTCGTTTGTTGTCGGGGTCGAAGGGCGACTTCACATGTGCCCTCGCGGCGTAGGTCACCCCCATCCTCTCCAGGGTATAATCTCCGCTCTTCACAAAGTCAAGGGACACCTGGGAGGTAGAGGGATGGTCACTGGTTCCTCGGGCTGGGCCGCACCCACCTTCCCTCCAGCATCAAACCCACCATGGAACTAACACTGCCTGCTCTGGACTGGAGGGTGGGGACCGGGCCCCCCATGCCACTGGACTGATCTGATCGTTGGATGCAGCGGAGCTGAGGGCTTGCAGCCAGAATGAGTCTGTCCCTCCAGCACCCCTCCCTCCTAACTCACTGCCATAGAGTCGGCCACCCTGTAGTGACCACACAGGACAGAACAGAACTGCTGTGTAGGGTGTCCAAGACTGGACCTCTTTACAGGAGCAGGCTTGAACTGCCGACCTCGTGGCCAGCAACTCAGCACCCAACCCACTGTGCCACCAGGGGTCCTTCCATTAATTCCAGGTCCTGGGAAAACACTGCAAGTGGGTGCTCTAGCACACTTGGACAGGCACCTGGGTTTTCTGGGACCTGGGAGCAGCTGTGGAGACCAACAAGGGCCTGGAATCACACATGGCCCAGACCCTACGGCCAGTGGATGGCCGGTCCACCTTTCTGCATGGCTTGGCCTCTGCACCTCCCCGCCTCCTGG